GTTGGCCATGACCTCTGCGAGCCTGTGGCCATTCTTACATGGGCGGAGCCCCTGGTAAACTTGCGATAGCTGTGATTGCCCACCCCTCCAGCCACCCCGCCCCCACAGTAGTGGGCAGCAGCATTTGTCTCGGATGGCAGACTGTAAGTCGTCGAGGATATCAGGAAATTCCCCGTAGCCCGAGAGGTCGGCCTCCAAGACCTTCCACGCGAACTCCGGAGCATCCCAAAAGTTGGGGGCCTTGGGACCCCAGCCAACCTCCAGAAAGCACCCGATGATGGCGGCGACGGGCCCCCGAACCTGACGAGATATCTGACTGCGAGCCACGCTCCGCAACTGATTCGTTATGCGAGGCCAAACATGACGGAGCACGGGACGGATACCTGGAGCACTAAACCAAACCGAAAGCCAAAGGCGCATGGCCTCGCGAGGGGACCTAACGCCAGGATCTTCGCCAGGAATCAGGATGTCTCAGAGTGTCGTGAGGCGTCGACCTCTAGCTCTAGCACCGAGAGAAGCCCCGAGATGCCGACGGACAAGCTGACGATAGCACCCACAAGCCCCATCGACTCGGTGCCCATAGGAGCCCGCGGCTTGCGCACCCGCGCTCTCGAGTCGCCCCGTTTCAAGGTGCTGCTTGGGAGCCTGAGCGAAGCGCCAAACCTTCGCCGTCATCCCACTAGCCTTGGCCTCCCGTCTATATCTAAGCTTCCGAGCGGGTCGGCAGTTGCCGAAGTCGATCCCTAGGTGCAGAGCTTGCCGAACTGCCGAAACACGAATGCCATCTCGTCGAAGGTGCTGCGGAACTTGTCTTCAATCAGCAGGCCTCGAGCACATCAGCGCACTCTTGGGCGATGCCTTGAGACCTACCTCGCCGAGCTCGTTGTGTCCTTCAGAACCTGGAAAAGGCTTGCCCTGGCGATCCTCCGAGATCCCTGGCCCCGTTGGGAAAGGTCGTTAATTTAAATGCGCATCGACATGCCCGCGTGGCCCGTCGAGATCAGCTGGAGAATGAGGTGCACCATGCACCGAGCAAAACGAGTTCCTCCACGTGAGCCATGCGCAATGCTCTGGGAGGGCTGGAAGGCGAGAGAGAAACTTCCTTCTTGGCCAAGGGTCCTTGGACACATGCAGCTTCGCAACTCAAGCGCCAAAACCGCCGGGGGGAAGTCAGCCCCTTAACAGTGCAAGCCAGAAGCGCCACGCAAACAGTGAGGGGCCCATTCTCGACGCCAAGCTTGAAATATGCTTCGTCGTGAAGCGCTCGGAAGTGCGCATCGCGAAGGGCCGAGTTGGCCCGGGCGGCCGCGCCCCGCGCAGGCTCTGCCGAGAAGACCAGGAGCGGGCATCTTCTTCCCGAGCTAGTAACCGCACACTGGCGAGCACAATCAAAAGTCCGATCGCCCTGCCCCCTCCACACTTCTTCGGCGGAAGCCGACCTAGGACCGTCAACGCTTGCCGCGGCCAGGTCAGCCGGGCCTCGCAGGCCTCGAACAAAGAAGAGGGCCGCTTGATCCCGTCGTCGGGGGGCTGCCGGGTCCACAGACGACATCTGATCAATACTTTGACCAGCGCAAGCCTTCATCAGCTCGGCAGCTTCGAGGGCTCGCTCCGGCGCGAAAGTAGAGAGCCGCCCGTCGTCGCGAGCGGGGGCCGCGAGGACCGGACCTCAAATCTCCTAAGTATATTTGGAGCCCCCGTCGCCCGGCGCGCCCAGCAACGCGCGCGGCCGCGGCGCCTTGTCCATGCTCATGAAATATGATTGCCAGAAGGGCCATGTTCCATCAGAAAGATCGAGACTAGCCACGGGTAGGTGCGCGCTGTCGGGAACATCCGGCGCAAGAGATTTGCGCGCGCGCTCGAGGCGACTCCGTTGAACGGCGCCGTTGGATTTCAGAAGGTGGCGGCGAAGTCCGCGGAGAACAGCGCGCGCCATGCCGCGCCAGCGCGCAACTGCGCCGTGAGGGGGTTCCTGGCGAACATAATCTTAAACGTGAACAATAGTCCCCTGGAAGATAGGGCCGGCCCCCCTGGGTCGCCCAAAAAAAGAAAGCCCGCGGTGTTCATGGATAGCATATTCTACCGTAGAAACCAACTGCTCGCAAAGCGCACTAACACCCAAGATACGATCGCCCCCCGACCGCAAAGGCCGCTGACTCCTTGATGACGGGCCAGACACTATCAAAACCTTGCACAGGCGCGCAAACGACCTCCTGCTCGGCGGCAGCCCATGTGTCCACGGAGATGCGGAAGCCAGGAGGGGGAGGGAGACTGCGGGGGGATCTGAAACGCCGGGGGCGCTATCCCGGTTGTCAGCACTTGCGGGGGCTGGGGGGGCACCGCTGCTATCCTGGGCGGACTCGTTGAAATCGTCGCCAGCCTCCCCAATTGCAGGGAATAAATAATCGAGGTCGTTGCGATTCGCACCGGCGGGGGGGGGGGGGCGGGGCGGGGGGGCGGCGAGAGGGGGGGCGCCGAAACTCTCATCGTCGCCGTCGCCGCGTTCAGCTCCACCAGCGGCAGGCGCGCGGAGGCTCGTGGACTGGCGTCCGTGGCCCCTGCTCGCGCGGGTCACCGTGGAGTTTGTCGTGCTGCTCGTCAGCAAATGCCCTGGTCGCGTTGGCCGCTGCCTTGTTCTTGCTAGACTTCGACTTGGCCCGGGGGGGGACTTTCGGCCTCGGTCGGGGCCTGCGGAAGCTTCCGCGCCATCTTGAGCCCTCAGCAAAGCTGCTGTTGAGCGGGCGATCTCAACCGAACGATAAGCCCACGGCGTGGGCGCCACGGCGCATCGAGGCATCCGTCGACTCTGATGATATATGGCACGCTGGAGGCGCTGGCAAAGACATAATCGACGCGCGCGCCAGCGCCCGGAGCACGAGCGCAGTCCAGAGGCGCTCGGAAAACGGAAGCGCCGACCTCACCCAGAAAACCAGCTCGCCGAAGCGCAGCCGCTCGCAACGTAAAATTACCAGCGACTACCCATGGAAGCCGACATTGGAGGAGGGCCCCCAGGCGGGTGAACCACTGAAAATTCTTGCCTGCGAGGCCCTCTCCGCATGGGCCGTGAGAGGCGATGAGAATGAACGCGCATCCGTTCTGATGACAAAATACAACAGTGAATCCAACTAAAGTGTGTGTGTGTGTGTGTGTGTGTGTGTGTGTGTGTGTGTGTGTGTGCGTGCGCGCGTGTGCGAGCGCGCGCGTGTGTGTGCGCGGGGGGGGGGGGGGGGGCATCAGATGCAAGATCGCCCCGCGCTGCGCGGGCGGCCAAGGGAAATGCACCTGGAGGCCCGTGCTAGAAAGCCCATTCGCTCGCCCCCCCCCCCCCCCCCCCCGCTTGCCCGAGCTTGACCGCTCTGAGTAGCGGCGCTGCCCGGGGCCAGAGCAGGGTCGGAGAAAAGCTTTAAGCGAGCCTCGCCGGCCGACTCAGGCCAGGGCGCAAGCGACTCGAGCGACTCAGCGCGGGCCTGCACCCGGCAGAATAACTATGCGACTTAGCCTGTTCACCTGCGAGATATCCCCATGCATTTTTCCCCATGGCAGTGGCATTGGCGAAAAAGAGCAGCGTCTCAGCAAATTGCGACGAAGTCGATCTCCCCGTAAATGGAGGGAGCGGGCGCGGCGCAGTCTCCTAGAACTGCGGCGGCGTGCTGGCCCCCTCGCGCGGCGATCGCGCCGCGTCCGCAGTGGCCGTGGACCCCCCCGCCCCTTGCCCGAGCCCTTGGCCGCCGCCGCCGTCTGCTTGGCCTCGCTGATGCGCTTCGCGGCGAGCTGGGCCGCCTCGTCAGCGTTCTCGGCGGCGCTGGCTGCCGCGGGCGCCTCTGGGGCAGGCGCTGGCGCTGCCGACTGGCCGCCGTCGCCGCTGCTGCCAACGCAACCACCGCCGGCCCCGCCTGGAAGCGTCTGCCCATCGCATCTGCGCTTCTTGGCCAGGCGCACCTCGATGGCCTGCTTCGCCATCTAGAGCTCCGCGAGCCACGTCTTGACCTCGTTGGACTTAGACGCGCGGCCCCCCTGGTAGCCTCAAGGTGCACCTTCGGCTTGGAGAGAGTCTCTCGCTCGTGCGTCTCGCAGCCGAGCGAATAAAGAGAGTCGACAAAAGGATTCGTCCCAGGTGACCGTGGACAGCGGGTCGTCCTCGTCATTCTTGTGAGATGAGGCGCCTTCCGTCCAGAATCCATCCTGATTCGCAAGCGCCCGCGCGGCGACCCGCTTGGCCTGCTCGGCCTTGGCGAGGGCGATGGACGCCTCCTCATATCGCTGCTGAGCTCGTGCAAGGACTTGCTCAGCTTTGAGGAGTGCTGCCGCTGCTTCGTCGTGCTAGACGCCTGCGTCGCGAACAGCCGCAGAAGCCTTCTGCAGTGAAACCTCTGGGCTGAGCTTGGTCTCCGCCGCCTCGGACTGTTGGTGGTACCTACCCACTTGAAGCTCGAGCAGCTGACGCATCCCTGGGTCCGTCGTCACCGCCAGAGCCTGCTGGTAAGCGACGAGCGTTGAAGGTGGAGTGCTGGCAGCCGCTTCTGGGCAACCTCTACCGCCGCTGGGCGGGAGCGTGAGTTGGTTGCCGTTGCCGATCGTAGCCTTCATCGGACTGGGGCGAAACAACTCAACCTGCTTCCCGCACTTGCACCAACGCCCTCGCTGCTGAAGTACGCCGTTCCATTCACCCTTGCCACAACCCCTGCACTTGGTCCAGAGAAATTCAGACTGGGTATCCATCGGCGCGACGGCCTTCTTACCCTTTCCAATCGCCTCCTCTGTTAACCTGACCTCGCGGCCAAAAATCGGAATCGATCGTGAGACGGGTGCCGTTCAAACACCACGTGGAGGTGAGACGAATCACCCCGAGAAAATGCAAAATGCCCTCGGGGCGAAATGGCTTGATATGAGGAGGAGGAAGGGGAGGCGGCGGAGGAGGAGGAGGAGGAGGAAGAGGAGGAGGAGGAGGAGGCGGAGGAGGAGGAGGCAAAGGCGGCTTTCCCAGGGTCGGGCGGCCCAGCCTGGCCACCTCCACGCTGAACGCGACGAGCTCGGCCGTCGTCTGCGCCAGCGAGGCGGGCTCGACGACCCCAGCGCTCGCCATGACCGCGGCCACCTCTGGCGGGTCGCGTGCGCTGGGGGGGGCGGAGGAGCTCGCAACGGCCAGCAATGTGCCACCGCCCTCGACATGCAGCTGACAAAACTCAGAGCGAGCCATGGGGTCGAGGGGGGGCGGCTCAACCTGCCGTCGGCGCTTCAGCGCCCGAACACCGAGAGACTCGGCTTCCTCCCGAAGGATGGAGCCAGGCCACGCTTGAGGTCGACCCCCGTCCCACCATAGTTGAGGTCAAACGCAACGGCAGCGCCTCACCAGACTCGGGCGATGCGGACAAGATTGGCATGCCGCCTCCAGCCTCCCCTGGCGAGCAGCCCGACGAGCGCGCCCGTAGCTCCGAGGGTGAGGTGAACCTGGTCAGCGGCCGAAGCATACGCCGAGAATGCGCCCCCTTCCCACCGCCGCCAGACGGAGCGGTCAGAGAAGAGCCTGGGGCGGGGAGGCACGAGCTGGAGAGGGCCGTCCAGACACCTATCCGAGAAGAAAACACGGGCTGCATCCGATAACACTGTGGCCCGAGACACGACGTACCCTTTCTTGCTGGGATGGCGGCCTTGCAAAATCCAAGCCAACTGCCCCTCGCGACCGGAGGAGGAGTGAGAGGAGGGGAAAAGGCCCCCTCGGGCAAGGGGGGAGGGAGGTCGGGGCGGGGGGATGCAGAGGAGAAGAAGGAAGAGGCGGAAGAGGAGGAGGAGGAGGAGGAGGAGGAGGAGGAGGAGGAGGGAGAGGAGGAGGGGGAGGACAAGGAG